GGAGTCATCTGACCTCCAACCCCCTCCTGGGTTCTCATGTTACAAGCTCAGGTATGTTCCCTTGGGCCGGCTCCCATCCCCCGATGCAGACCATCCTAGTCACACTCCCCTGTCAGCATTCACACACCCCAGCAAGAACAGTCCCAGTTCGTCACAGGGACACAGTGGCCTAGGCAGCTCCCTGGGGCGGGGGTCCTGGACTCACATCCTTTCTGCTCTGTTGCCTAGATCCTGAACCTGACGCAGGCCCTGAAGGATGGGAAGAGCCCCCTGCACCTGGTGCAGATGCCGCCGGTGATCGTGGAGACAGCGCGCTCCCACCAGCGCAGCGCCAGCGAGTCCTACACACAGAGCTTCCAGAGCCGCAAGCCCTTCTTCTCCTGGTGGTAGCTGGGCGCTGGGCCGCCTGGGGCTGGGGTGGCCTGCTGCCGCAGCCCCCGCAGCCAGGACTCTACTCTCCGGGAGAGGGTGGGTGTGTCTGGGGGAACCTCCAGCTGAACTCTGCCCGGGCAGAGCCGTGGATTCCCCTTGCTGCGGGGCTTGGACGCAGCCTGGCAGAGCCAGCTCCAGCCGCAAACTGCCCCGCTCAATGCAGCCGCTGAGCGAGTGGAGCCGGGGCCTGCCTCCTGGGGGCGGTTCTGAGCCGTCTGCTTCCTGCTGGGGCTGGGATCTGCCCGGCAGCCTCGCCTCGCCCACCCCTCAGGAACCCCGGCTGCTCGCTGGCTGCAGGGCCATAAAGGCAGTCAGTGTCAGCTCGACGCGGCCTTGCTGGGCTGCCCCCCCCTCCCCCAGTGGCTATTTGGAGCTGGTGTCAATGGAGAGGAGGCATGTGCATGAGTGAGGGGCTGGCGCAGGAGGCCCAATGTATGCCCAGGGCTGAGCTGTCAGAGGGCAGCAGGCCTGGGGTTCCCCAACCGTCTGCGCTATGGAGTGTTTGTAGCTGCCTTTCCTGCAGGGGGGAGAGCTGGGGAGGGAGCCTGCGGATGCCAGGGAGCTCTGGGCACCCTGGCACAGGAGCGATGCATGCTGGGACCTGGCCCCACTTCACAGGAAAGCTGAGGGCCCTGGTGTGGGAGCTGCTTGACCCCCTCCCTCACTGGGCACAGGGTGATCTGTCCTGGTTTAGCTGGCTTGTCATTGTTCCACCCTCTCCCCTCTAGGAGGGGCCCATGTTCCCCTCTGCTCCTGCCCTTGCTGCTGGGCAGGCCCCCCTCCAGGGCCACTCACTCTCTCTGCTCCACAGGCCCTGGGTACACGTGTGGGCAGCCTGGCTTCACTTCTCAAGGGAGCCCTTCCCCGCCAGGGGAGAGCCCAGCCTGTCGGGGGCTGGTGCCTGCTGGGTGAGCTATGGCTGATGGGAAGGGGTCCCACTCCCTGCATCTGTGCGGCTCCTGCGGCCGGGGCGGCTTGCCTCATGGTCACGGCCTGGGGCAGTTCTAGGCATCATACAGCTAGTCCCAGGCTGGGGGCTGGGCTCCTTAGAGGCTCCATGGGGCCTGCCCCAAGCCCCATTGCGTGGTCTAGCACAGGGGCTTAGGCTGCGCTGTCCCCCTTGGGGCAGGAGGTTTGTGCATGTTCCCCTCCATGAACGGAAGTGGGCAGGGCTGGGCTATAGGACTCGGGGCCGTGCGCTGGAGCTGGCCAGGGGCTTCATGGCCTGTGGCTGCTGCTAGCGTGCCGGAGGCCAGATTCCATCTTTCTGGCTGCTGGACCCTGACCTGAAATGTATCGTTCTCATGCACTGTAGAAATGTATGTAATGTATTTAAACCCATGCACTAGCTGAGTCAGACCTGCCATTCTGCACGGGGCTCTGGGGAGGTGACACCTGCTGGGGTGGGAGAGCCCCTCTGCCTGTGGGCACCACTTGCTCCTGTCTGCCCTGGGGGCAGTGATGTAGCACTTGTCAGGTAGGGCCTGTGGCCTAGCACTACCCTTTCACTGAGAGCCTGGACTGGGGGTGCTGTCCTTGCTCTAATGCCCCATGGAGCTAGTCTCCTGGGCCCAAACCCAGCTGCAGGCGTGCGGGGGAGCAGCTGAGGCCGGGCTGGCACCAGGGGCAGCGGCTGGGGGCTGTGCCCGGCAGCTCTGGCTGCGGTCAGTAAAACAGGCCCGTCTCCCTGAGCCCCACCGCTGCAGGCACCTGCGCTGGTGTAGGTGAGCTGCTGGCATTGAGGAATGCCCTGCAGAGATGGGCAGCTAGGGGTGCCCACTGGGGGCTGGCAGCTGTGGGCATGCTGCTTTCTGGCCTCCAGCCGGGTGTGTCCTAACTGGGGCTTTCCCCAGCCCCCGTCCCGCAGGAGCACAGCCAGGCCCAGGGGCTTCACACAGTGCAAGGGGCTGCCTGGATCCCGCTGCCCCCCTTCTGGGACGGTGCCCAGGGACCTGAACAGACAGAACAACACTCGCAGGTCCACCCCCCTGCCCGGCTGAGCCCCCTGCTGGGCTGAAGGCCAGAGAGAGCACCCCCCCCCCCCCCAGCTCCATAGTCCTCCCCACTCAGCCCGGGCCAGGCCTGCAGTAACTCCTGGCAGCACAGAGAGGTCTCAGAGCCAGGTCCCTGCACAGGCTTTTATTACACAGTCTGTCCAGCTGTATGCAACAAGGCGCGGGGCTGCCCCTAGTAGGATGGGGCTCCCCCATGGGACTTGGACCCAGGCTGATGGGCACCCTAGACAGCCAGCTCTGGTGCTGAGTGACTGCACTTGCCCCACACATACCCCCAGGTGGGGGAAGGGTAGCCTGTTTGTGGGTCACTCCCCTCCCCATTTGGGCTCCAGTCCAGCTGCCAGCCAAGGCTCACCTCCACTCAGGTCCCAGAGGCCCTGGCCCTTAGCAAAGGGCTTTCAGGGCGGTTAGTGTTGGATGGGGTGGGGGGGGGGTGTTTCAAAGGCCCACTCGCAGCCTGGGCTGCAGCTGTCCTCTTCTGGCTGGTCCCCACAGTGATGGGCAGCCCACCCGGGACCCCTCACTCTGCTCCCCTCTCCCTTCATCTACTGGGGGGGGGAGGAGGGGAGAGGAATCTGCAGCTGCTTGGCCCAGCTCTAGCCAGTGAGGACAGAATCTCTCCTCCCCCCCCCCTGCAAGCCTGTCTGCTAGCTTGTGGGGCTGAGCCTGGCCAGGCAGCCGGGAGCTCCCAGCACCAGCTGCCCCCCTCACTGCTGGAGCTGGTGCAGGTACCCTGTGGGCCCAGGCCCCCTCTTCCTCCGCCTGGTTCTTGGACATTTCCTCCTGGGGCCAGGGCGCTGCCTGTCCCTGCTGGGCCCCTCCAGCCTGGTGCTGCTGCCAGGGTCTGCGCTGGGGGAGCTGCAGTCCTCTAGCCTGTAGGGGAACAAACAGAGCCAGGGTGAGGTGAGGGGCAGTGGATCCCTGCCCCAGGGGCTACGCAGCTGCTTTGGGCGCCGGGTGAGAGGCTGGAGCTGGAATTGCTGCAGAGGCGGCCAGCCCAGCCTGCCTAGGGGCAAAGGAGATCCCCAGCCTAGGCTGCCCCTCCCCACAGCCCCGCTCCGTGGGGGCTCCCCTCCTGGGCCAGGGCAGATGTGAGCCAGGGACGGGTTTCGAGTCTTACACGCCCAACCCTGGTGCGTGGGGGGGGGGGGGAGAGGCAGCAGGTCCAAGGAAGGGCCCTGCCCCTGGGATGGTCTTTGGGGTCTGGGGGTAGCTCATTCAGTCTACCCCGTGCCAGCCCCTGAATCACACAGGCCAGGCACACCCCCACCAGGGCCTGTGGGGTGACCTCCCATTGCACCCCCGCTCCCTGGAGCCCCACCCCACGGTGCAGAGTCTCCCCCCAGGAGGCTGTGCTCAGGGCCCTCAGCCCCGGTTCAGCTCCCTGCGGGTGCTGCTCCCCATGCCCGGCCCAGTGCCCAGCTGTACCTTGGGGCGCTGCTGGCCTGGGCTGCTGGCTGCCACCGCCGCCTCCTGAGCTGGCGCAGGGCTTGGGCCGTGCGCCGGTCGCCCGCGTACTCCCAGACCAGCCGGGCTCGCTCCTCTGCCCGCTCATCCCCGCGGCTGCGGAACAGGCGCCGCAGCTGCAGCAGCCCCACGTCCTGGAAGATGTTGGCAGCGGCTCTTTTCCGGGCCCGGGCCTCAGGACCCCGGCACTGCGGGGGGTCGCAGGCCACAGAGGCCGGGGTGCCCATGGGTCTGCCCCGGGGGCCGAGGAGACACTGTGGGGAGGAAGGGAACAGGGTGAGGCTGCAAGAAGGGATCGGGCTCCCCCCTCCCTCCCTCCGGCACCCCCGGCTGGTCCCCGCCCCTCGGCTGCCTCTGCCTCCCCCTCCGGGGGACGGGAGCGGGGTGCAGCCCGCGCGGTGTCCCAGCCACGAGCCGAGCCCAGGCGAGCTAGTCCCGGCCCGGCTGTGCTGCCTGGCCAGGCCCGGGGGGTCCCTGCTTTGCGGCCCCATTTCCCGAGCGGGCCGGACCGGAGCCCCGGGACAGGTGCGGGGCCGCGGTGCGGGGGTGCGGGGCCCCGGGCTCCCGGTGCGTCTGCACGGCAGGATCCGAGCCCCGGCCCAGGCAGCGGCGGGGGTCACCGGCTCGGGGGGGGGACCCGGCCCCGGAGCGACCCCGGCCCGGCTACCTGCGCGCGCGAGTCGCGGCCCGGCCGGGGCGTCTGGGGTCCGGCCCGACCCCCCACCCCGACGCACGGACAGCAGCCCCGCCCCCACGCCCGCCAGCCAATCAGCGGCCGCTGCCATCCGCGTCCCGCCTGCCCGAACGCGGAGACACCGGCTGCCCAATCAGGCCCCGCAGAGGGGGACGGGCGGGGCCTGGCGCCTCGGGGAAACACGTGGCACCCAATGACGTCAATGGGCAAGCGGTGACCAGCTGCTGGCGGGGGTCAAGCGCTCGGGGG